AGTCTTTGAGAAATCGCCAAAAACGCGTTCGTCAAAATGGCCTTTTTCACCACCTGTATAGGATCTGAAAGACTTTTTTCGCAATTCCGGTCGAAAGTGCCTAAAAATACTTGAAATGAGCGTAGTAGCCCTGTACGGCACTGGAATAATGCAAAAAACCGGACCAAAATTGGTTTAGAAACAAAAATTTGGCCAAAAACTATCAAATTTGGACCCTCCGATTCCTTCCTTTTCCAAACCTTAAGTCGTTAGCTCTATCCACGGAGCTACTCGGAGGGTTACCCAAAAATTTCTCTAATAACCGAGCACGTTATGCTAGCACGCTCCTAACGCAAAAAATTTTATTGCTCTAACTCTAAAAACTCAAAAACTCGATCCCCAAAACAGATTGACAAAATACAGAAAATTATCAAAATTTTGATGGAAAAATTTCCGTTTTTCTAACTTCTACTGAGTCTTTGCTCACGCGGTTTCTTTAGTGAAGGGGATCGAACTACGTAGCTACTCCCTATATAAAAGCTTTTTGTTGTTCGGAAAAGCTCTGATATCCAAAAATTTGGGGGTCTACAGTTTGGTCGAAAATCGGTAATTTTCGACAAAAAATGGGTGTTTCTTGGGTCTAAATAGGAGATAAGTAATATATAATAAGAATAATAATCTATTAATAGTCGTTAATGAATAGTACTATACCCTCCTTTGCACCAAAATACCCGAATTAAGACCCTTAACTCGGAAATTTGTAATCGATGGAGGGTACCATCGGACCACGCCAATCGTGCCCCCCACCACTTAAGTTTTAACGAAATAGTACCCGAACGATACTAAAATTGCTTCAACAAAACCCAACAGTCGTTGCGGATGTTGTCCTTGATGTCCCTGTCGAGGGAGGGTATCCAACCCTTCACCAAAACATACAATCTTTCTATCAGAAACGATATAAATCAATCTGAAACAACAACAAATAGGAAGGTCAGATCACATCTCGTCCGGAAATAACATATAAACTGTCACTTTACATTTTTTACTGTTTTGGTCTTTTTTGGATTTTTTTTTTTTTTTACTGTTTTTTGTACTTTTTTGTTTTTAAATAAATTTATTTTTGGCTTTTTCTTGGTTATACACTATTTTTGTTTGGTTTTACACTTTCTCTTTAATTGTTTTTGGTCCTGGGACCTCAGGACAAGCGGGCTCTAGATTTCCCACCTAACCCTCCGGCCCCCGGAATTTTCGGTGTTAACTAAGTTAAAAAGCTAAATTGTACTAGACGGAGGGTACGCACCTTCCCCCTAGTACAACAACGGTCATTAAGGCCTCTAACTCGGGCATACGCCCGGAGCGGAGGGTACGTCGCTGAAACGCTTGCTGATCATGATGGTTTCATGCCTTTAACAGGCCCACCCAGGAGCGCCATAAAAACGTCTATGTAACATTCGCCCAAATACTACACAGCGACGGAGCGTAGGAAAAGTACCTATTAACGACTGGCAGGCGTCAGTTACCTTAATCCTACTCGTTTTTCACCGTCTCGACCTTGCCAGTTGATTTTCTGGTCTTTTTAGGGCAAAGTAAAAAGTTACCATTTTTAGGCCATCAGTCAAAGGACTTTTGATCAGCTTTCGTTTACATGCGAACACAACCACATAGCTGAGTCTCGGATCCTCAGACTACATGATTGTCATTAAAAACACGGCTCAAACAACCTATTTTAACATGTTTTTGTGTGACAGTTCTATATTAAATCCATTGGAGATGGATTGACCCTTTCCTCTTTCTAGCTACTCATACTCTGAAATATTAAACAATAACGGTGTTAATTAAGATCTATGACATTACAGCAGCTATACAGTCAGTCTACACAGTCCCTTCACATAGAACAGTCTCTGGGGGACCAAGCCTCCGCTCCCGTAATATTCCCGAGATAACGCTCTTATCTCTTATAATTCGTGTCCCGGGAGGGTCCCGTGGTGTATTTCTTCCCCCACTCAAGCCTCCTTCTCCACCAATATCTGTTAACAAGTGTCTTATCGTGCGTTGTTGCCACGATAAGAGGCTTCGTGTTTTCCGTCTCTGGTACGACTGTTTTTCACAATATCTGTCGTTGTTCTTATTTTTGTCACTTTTTCAGTCAAAATTACCGTTTTTCGTATTTCTGAGAAATATTCTTCTTCCAATCGAAATTTTAAAAATAAAAATTCCAGAATATTCCGACCCTCCTTCGCAATACTTTTTTATCAATAAGGCCTTTAATCGTTCTTTTTTACGTCGCCGGAAGGTTGTGCTGTGTCATCTGGCAGAATGGCACAAATTTTCTTTTTTTATAGCGTTTCGTTTTTCAAAAATCACGAAAATTCGGTTTTTGTACCAAATTAGTTCCAACCCTTTCTGAACTAAACTCAACCAATTATACCTATTATACTAGCACAGTTACGATGTAACTCACTAATTTAGCGCTTTTTTCCGTTCAAAAAATATCGATATCTCAAAATTCGCGATTTGTGGGGGGATCAAAATATCGCTATTTTGACCCTAAACACCGGTCCGCTTACTGTGATCTTCGCTGAAAAACGATATAAGGGTATTAATATAGGGTATATAAGTAATAATACTAGTAATACTATACCCCTCCGGGTTTGTTCAATATCAAACTGAAGGTGCTTAACTCGGAAATTTGCAGTTCGGTGAAGGGTCACTACAGTGCAGCACTGTCGAGCCCCCCACAGAATACTATCTTACTTTTTGTACCAAAAGGGATACAAAACTTGTTAACGATACCCAACAGTCGATTGTTGTCGTTGAGCCCTATCTTGTTGCTCCTTGTACTGCTTACCGGATCAGTCTTCTCCCAAGACCCTTCCGGATTGAGCGCAAATCAGCAGACCCTTCCGGATTGAGCGCAAATTAGCATTAACGTGCTTAAATACTCAAATAACCCTACAGTACAAGCCTCACAAACGGGCCACAAAAATGATCGTATTGATATTCATTGATATAAATGCCTGTAACAACAATATATCTATCAACACAACAACAAACGAGAGGGTCGGATCACATCTTGTCTGGGGGGATGATTTCTCCTGGTTTTTTACTTTTTTACTGTTTTTGGTTTTTTCGGTTATTTTTTTAATGTTTTTTGTTTTTCTTGGGTACTATACTGCTTTTTGTTTGGTTTCTTGTATATCTTTAAGTGTTTTTGGTCACAGACCTCTCAGGGAACGAGGGGACGGCCAATCCCCCCACCCTTCCTTGAACGTGAATTTTCGGTCTTAACTACGTTAAGAAGCTATTCACGGTAATCCGGAAGGCTTCCGCGTTCCGAACTACCCTTCCGCCCGGCGGTTAGGGCCTATTAAGGGCGTTATTATGAGCATCCGCTCGGCGCGGAGTGCTCGTTAACGGTTCTGCCGGTCATGAGGTTAAAAAAGAATAACACCCAGGAGCGCCATAAAAACGTCTGTGTAACATTCACCCGGAAGTACATATCGACGGAAAATAAAGCTAGGTTCTAAAACGACTGGCCAACGTCTAAACAGAGCTCTAAATGCTTTTCACCGTCTCTACCAAAGCCAGTTCTTTTGGTGGTCTTTTCAACATCGGGTCGACAAAAACGTTACTGTTCTCCGGCTTCGACTAGAACGCTCAAATTAACTTACTTACATGCAAAATTAGACCTTGAGGTCACTCCTTAAAACAGGGCTTTTACTACGTATTATAATACTTTTGTTTTTGTTCAGTAGATTAAAATCATCATCTCCATCGAACCAACGGATCAACCCTTTCCCCCAACTCCTAGCTTCTCATCTTCGTAAAATGAATTCAGATATTAAATAAATTCAATTCAAGACATAACCGGGAAGCTAAAAGTTTATATAAAACAGTTTCAGTTCAAATCCCGAGACCCCTCCGGATTCCTTTATCCGGGGAAATAACAACCTTATCTTCCTTCCGGAAGGCTGTTTTTCTACCCTTCACCGTTGTTGTGAACGGCCTTGCAACGATTGCAGCGACACAATCGTTGCAACTCGGAACGGTCTCTGCTAACTCTGCAATTCGTTGTTGTTTTTCTGTCGCAATTCTCATAGTTATCACTATCGCAACTATTGTTGTTCTGAGTTTCTTCTGGTTTTTCTCCAAAATGGCGGTTTTTGGCGTTTCTCAGAAGTGCGACTTCTCAGTTCGAATTTTTAAAATTTCAAAATACCAGAATATCTTGACCTTCGCCGTTTGACTAATCGTCCCAATAACGTCACTAATCTCTCAAAACTGTCAATTCGGAAGGCTAGCTGCTAACTATTCGAAATCGCCGAATCTGCATTTTGTCCATTCTGGTCGAATGTCACACTGTGATCCAGCTTAAAGTTTTCCCTTTGATCCCATATTTGGATATTGTGTTCAATAGTCTTTTATGGGGAACGCTATCAAAAGCTTTTTGGAAGTCAATGTACACTATGTCTACCTCAAAACCCTTGTCCAGTTCCGCAGTCCAGTCATCGAGCGCTTTTAATAACTGGAGAGTCGTTGATCGACCTGGTAAGAAACCATACTGTTTGTCTGATAAGATGTTGTTTTGTCTCAAAAAGTCAAACAGGTGCCTTCTTATCACTTTTTCCATTATTTTGCAATAAATTGATGTGAGGCTAACAGGTCTGTAATTGTTTGGGTCACTTTTTGCGTCTTTTTTGTGAATCGCTGTTATATTTGCGCATTTCCAATCTTCGGGTATTTCTCCCTTATCCCAGGAGTTTTGCATTATAGAACACAGTAATTCAGCTAATTCATATCGGCATTCGTTCAAAATCTTTGGCTTACGTCTGTATCTCTCTCTCACTCTCTCTCTCTCTCTCTCTCTCTCTCTCTCTCTGGTTCGACGATAATCAGACAACTTATGATTTTTTTGTAATACTTTTTGTTCCTTTTTTCAGTATCAAGATATTTCACAAAAACTAAGCTAAATTCTAAACAGCACTTTTATTACCCAAGATTGTTAAGAACCTTATTAGTTTTATTTCAGTTCGAAATGTTGAAATGGGTCGACTGAATTCTGTGATACCTTGTTTAATAGTATTTGAGTCTCTGAATAGCCGTGTAATGCATGGTGGAAGAAATGAATAGCCATCAGCATGACATAAAAAGTATAGCCATATTAGATGCCGGATCACAGTATGGAAAGTTAATCGACCGAAAGTTGCGCGAATTGAGCATCAGAACTGTTTTTCTTGATTTTGATTTTACAGCGGAGGAAATAGTAAACGAAAATGTTCAAGGTGTTATCATTTCGGGCGGACCTGGTACGGTTATTCTTGAAGATCAAGAATTTAAAAGACTAAACGGTGACAGAATTTTGAAACTCGGCGTTCCAGTCCTTGGAATATGTTTCGGCATGCAACTTTTGAATAAATTGTTTGGTGGAGTAGTTGAGAGAACCGCACTTCGAGAAGATGGAGAATGTGAGATCGAAATCAATACAGATTGCCCTCTCTTCTCTGGCTTGGATAGTAAGCAAACGGTACTGCTTACCCATGGGGATACATGCACCAACGTAGGAGGTGAATTGAAAATTGTTGGAAAACACGGGGATACCATTTCTGCATTGTCTTACGAATCTGCTAAATTCTACGGCGTGCAGTTTCACCCTGAAACGGATCTAACACCAAATGGAAAAGTGATTTTTAAAAATTTTTGTAAAATTTGTGGAGTTGAGCCAGATTACACCCTCACCTCTCGTTTGAAGGTAAGCAACTATTTATTTTTTGAAAATACTTATTCTGCAGAACAATACCAATTTATCTATTTTGATGGTTAATTTCATCGTAAATTTAAGTTGACAAAATAATTTGTTTAAAGGATTCTTATTGCGAAAAAATTAATCAATATTTTCATTTTTTTGGTGTAAGGTACCCTTCTTTTTACCCACTCAGAATATGAAAAATCAAATCATGATAGGAATCAATGATATAAGCTTTTTTTTTTCAAGCTAGCTTTAATTGTTTATATTATGTTAAATTTATTGCATAGAACTAAGCGGAAAAAAAACAAATATAATCTTGGCTCATATCAGAAATATTCATCGATTTTATCATTTTACCTGCCTCCTTTTTCATTTTGTTTAGTTATGTGTTTCCAATGTGATTTTTTTTAGTCCACGATAAAAGAAATAGAGGACAGCGTTGGTCAACGGAACGTAGTGTGTTTAATATCCGGAGGAGTGGACTCAGCGGTGTGTGCCGCGATGCTGCAGAAAGCGATCGGCAAGGAAAAAATTTACCCAGTGCACATCGACAACGGCTTCATGCGACTCAATGAGAGCAAATTGGTGGAAAAAAGTTTGGCCGAAATTGGGGTCACCTTAGAAGTCTACAATGAAGCAAAGAATTTTAGTGTGGCGACTACGAGAATTTTGCAGAAGGTTTGTAAGGAGTGCAGCCTGTATTTAGACAACCGCGTATTTATACTCGTCAGTATTTAGACAAATACTGTATGAACCAATCAGAATCGAGAAAAGACATAAATAATCCAAAATATATAATAATTATTTATTAATTTCTTCTTTGTCTCGATTCTGATTGGTTGAAACAGTATTTGTCTAAACACTGACGAGTCTTGAATACGCGGTTGTCCAAATACTGCTATGTAACGGTTTGTAATTTTTTTTGCGATAAACAAGTGTATTGCACTCGGGTACTAGAATTTTTTCCGTAAACAACTTTGTCCACAGGACTCATCGATTCCTGGTAGTACCTTAGTTCATAACCAATTCAAATATCCTACTGTCTCCTGCGCATTTAGCCTGGAGGTAACGAATGCGCCTGGGAGGCACAGGTCTTGCGGTCGAATCTGACGAGGACCTGTTTTTTTCAAACGGTAAAAATTCCGGTTCAAAAAAATTTCGGCTTCTTATTTGTCTGCTTGTTTTGTCGGCTTAGTTACAAGAGCTAAAAATCTTTTATATTTGGTACAAACAAATTTCGCTGTAGTTGCTTAGTGTCTTAGCATTTAAAAAAATCCGGCCAAATCGAAATTTGCTTTTTACATTGGTTGTAAGATTACCAACTCGATTTGATAAAATTTAGTTTTTTTTTTTTTTCAATTGTTTTGTCTGTTTTTTTTCGACCTAGTCGGTTTCGGCTTATTTTCTGTCTACTTAGTGGACCCTTATTGCATCGTTTGATGGCCGAAAATAGTTTCCGTACGTGTTTTCTGAGGGGAAAGGCGGACTCATAGTTTTTTAAATGAATTTTTTCATTTTTTTTGTTTCGGTATGAAGGGCTACTGCTGAGGTTTTTTCTATTTTGTTACTGCTTGATTATTTGTGTTCCGATGCCAATTTTGCATTCTGGTATATTGCATTTTTTTCAAAACAATTTTCATGCATTTTGATAGATTGGGTGTATGTATAGTTATAAAACATCGATATTACTTTTTTTGCTGATAATTTTTCGGGTTTGGATTCAGCTCTCGGTTTAGCTTCCGAATTGTGTATACCACCTTAATTTCAGCACCTATATGGCTTTCGTGGATACTATTTGGGCAGCATATTTTCCAATAATATTTTGCCGAACAATTTTGGTTGAATTTCAGCTAATTGGCTGTCGGCGTTAATTCTGTCGGCTTATTAACCTAATATTTTGCCTCCTACAAAATTTCGATATTGTTCATGAAAGTCGACAGCTGAATTTAAGCTAATTGGCTGTCGGCTTTGATTCTGTCGGCTTATTTACCTAATATTTTGTCTCCTAAAAAATTTCGATATTGTTCATGAGATCGTTAAGACTTTGGCCCCAAATTTAAATTTTTAAATGCTCCTTGAAACTTGGAATTCTTTTAAAAACTTTAATAAACTTAAACATAGAAAAATTGATTTTCATTTTTTTGTTTCTAGTCGTTTCTTCTACGCTTACAACTTTCGAAGTCCTCTTCAGTGTCTTGCTGTCTTAATCTTTTGCCTGTTGTATCGCAAGTGGTGCGAAGCTCAGTTCGCATCTTTGTACGTATTTTAGCTGTAAAATTGAAGTTTTTCATGGTTTCAACCAGGATGACCGCATGGTACGTTCTAGTACTTTTATGGTTCCTGAATTTTCAAAAGTAGTTTTTTTAAGGGACCTCGCTTCGATCACGGTTTTACCAATCGTCGTTTCAGATGAATGGGTAAATGTAAGGCAAACGACTCTTTGCTTGTAAAATTTGCGTGGGCATTACGAATTCCCGGTGACCAATACCAAGTCGACCCTTATAAATGAAAAAGATGCTCCGTGGAATCATTCCTTCAAGTTGCTACTTTGTGATCTGAATTTTTGTTCGATTTTGTAAATTTCTGTTCTTAACTTTTTGTTCCTGAAAGTATCTTTGTAATGACTTGGTTTTTTTGAAAATTCTTCAAAGTACTTTTATTCAAATCGAGAATGTGGTCACCCTGGTTTGAACCTCGAAATTTTAAAGTGTCAATGAAGTCAGTTGATGACAATTATAAAGGCCGAGATGATTTTTTGTAGGAATTTTAACACCCTCATCTTTGATTTTTAATTTCTTTACACAAGCAAAGCTTGTGCGATAGTATGAATTCTCTTTTTTTACGACCTAAGTCGCAAATATTTTTTGTGTGATTTGAAAAGCAAAAATCATTTGTTTAAAAGTTTGTTGGAGCTGTCGTGTAGAAAATCCAAGTTTAATATTTTAATCACTCAAAATTGTCTGGAAGATGTAAGTTGATTTTTTTGTCGGCTTTGTTCGATTACGACTCAATTGTTGTCGACTTACTTGCCTTGCCGTTTAACTAGTTCTGTAATTTTTTGCTAGATTCTTTGATACATTTTTTCTTCATATTCATGAGGGTAATTATATTCCATGGTCTTCTGGTTTTTGTATTCTTCAAAATTTTCTCTAAGAAATAAAACGTTTTCTGAATTTTGCTGCCAGACATTTTTTGGCAAATAAATAAAGTTTTTTTTCGGTTGCATGGTTTCTAATTTTTTCATTCTAAAAGTGCGTGAAACTAGATTTAGTTTGAATTAGTTAGGTGTGTCTTAGGTTTAAGTAATTTCGTTTTTTTTTCGACATTTTGTCTACAGAGGAATATCGCGGCAAGTTCTGCAGGAGATTTAGGCGCGTGGTTCTTTCCGGCTGAAGTTTTTGAAAACCTTTCATGATTTTTTTGTTTCCGTTTTTTGCGTTTTTTGTTGTTTCTTTTTTGTTGCTATCTAGCTCTATTACCGTTGCGTATAAATATCTTAACTGATAATGTAATTGTGTTATTTTTGTAGGGTTTCAGAGTTTTTTTTTCCAGATTTTCTGCAAGTTTTTTGTGTTAATTGTTTGTAATTTTTGCATTCATGAATTTGAATTTTTTTTTTCATTTCGATCTTATACTATAGCGGATAAGGTCTTTATCCTCGATTATTCTTATTGGATATGCAGATTGTTTGTTGCAAGATTTATTGAGCAGTTTTTGCGAAGTTTTAGGAGTTTTCCTATCTCAATTTTTTGACCGAAGTGTTTTCTTATCGTTTTCATCTATTGGTTATCAGAAAAACATGGATGGAGTTAAGCCCAAATCCTTCTTTTGTGTTTTGAAGGTAATTGACTTCTATAGCGATTGCAATAAAAAATTTTCTGGTTTTTGAGCCTACGATTTAAAAAAATGTATTCATGTTTTTCAATTTTCGTTTAAGACCTATTATCTTGTGATTTCTACAGCTTAAGTGTTTATCGCAAGTGGTGCGAAGCTCAGTTTCGCCTCTGTGTCCCAAAAATTAAATCAGTAATATTTTTCCCCAGTCCAAGTGTTCAACGAAACAATTACAGCTCTCTGTTGGCTATATTTATCTAGTTTCAGAAATGTCAGAAATCTTTTTCTTTGTTTATCTTAGTTTTGATTGACACTTTTCCAACTGTTTGTTGGCTACATTTTTCAACTTTGTAAAACTGTGTAATTTTTTCATTTATTGAGCTTGAGTTGATTTTGTTTAGGACGACACATATCGCGCGTGCACGCAGTTGAATCGCACGATACACCCGGAAGAAAAGCGACAGATAATAGGCGACTGCTTCATCTCGGTGTTCAACAAGATCCTCGTGGATAAGGGCCTGGACATCGCCAACACACTGTTGTGCCAGGGAACCCTCAGACCGGACCTGATAGAGAGTGGATCGGCCTATGCCAGCTCGAAATGCGACCGAATTAAAACTCATCACAACGATACAGATTTGGGTTAGCTTTTGGGCCAGCATTTTGATTGTTAATGAATTGTGGTCTGTCTACGCAAATTTTGTCCCCACAAAGTTAGTGACGTTTTTTCGCCCCTCACGCTTTTGAACCCTTTTATCTGACACACTAAGTTCGAGAAAGATTCTCATACTTCAATTTTTTACAATGTTTTGCTCACACAAATGCAGAAAAAGTGTGTCAATTACGTAAAGACAATCGGCTCAAGGTGTTCAATAAGCGTTTTCAAAAACCTGTCTTAATGGCAGTGATAAAATAAGTTGAATGATAATATTCTCAATGAATGAATGTATAATTTATCCTCAGTGTGATATACATATAACCAATAAAGCATTTATAATTCAGGCAATTAGTGGGGGAGTCCAGTGCTTCAAATTGAAAGTTTGCATTTTTTAGTTCGATCTTTACGTGCACGTGGGAAAGTGATCGAACCTCTGAAAGACTTCCACAAAGATGAAGTTCGACAAATTGGAGCAGAACTGAAGTTGTCTTGTTCGATTCTGCAGAGGCATCCTTTTCCAGGCCCAGGATTGGCCATTAGAATTCTGTGTGCTGAAGGCCCGAATTTGGGCACAGATTTCATAGAAACACAAGTAATTCTAAACAAACTAGCTTCATACAACGACGCCAAAACGCGTCCTTTTCTACTGTTTAATAAAATAATAGAAGTGCTCTCTAAGTCAGAACTGGAGACTCTAGACAAGATCACGGGCTCTTGCAAGTACAAGGCGACCTTGCTTCCCATAAGTACTGTAGGCGTTCAAGGCGACGCCAGAACATACAGCTATTGCGCAGCATTCTCCTGCGGCAGTCGCACTGACAGCTCAGGTCCAGATCAGCAGTTGACGGGAATCGCTTCCAGTAAATCCAACATTAACTGGGATCACTTGTTTTTCCTGGCCAGGATCATCCCAAGATGCTGTCACAACATTAACAGAGTTACTTATGTGTTTGGCGGAGAAGTGTCCTACCCTATTCATGACATCACGGTTACTTATCTGGACACTCCGACCATAGATCTTCTGAGAACGGCCGATGATCTTGCGACCACGTCGCTCAAAATGGGCAACTGTTTGAGCAGCGTCAGTCAAATGCCAGTAGTGCTAGTTCCAATCCATTTCGACCGTGATCCAGTGAAACGACTGGCCTCAACCAAAAGGTCAGTCGTTCTACGCACCTTCAAGACTCAAGATTTCATGACGGGAGTACCAGCGCGACCAGGAAAGGACATCGCGGAATCGGTGCTGAATAAAATCGACCAGGCCATCCTGAAGCTTCCTGGAATATCGCGGGTGATGTATGATTTGACCTCAAAGCCACCGGCCACCACTGAATGGGAGTAGTGAACTCGGATTTGAGATCAGTTTTGAAATTATTAACACGAGTTATGAGGAAAATCTGCTGCCCATTTTAATGTCAACCGAAGCCGCTGTATTGGTTCACAGGAAGTTAAATTATGTAGAAATGCGTAATCAATGAATTGACCATTTAACTGATTATACTAAATTGTAAAGAATATTCACGCACCACGGATACTCTCAAGTAGTCTTTTATTTAATTTCTCGATTTCATTAAAAAACATTGTGAAATGGTGGTTACGTGGTGTTAACTCAATATCATGTCAATTGTATGAAGCAATTGGTTTATCCATTCGTTTGACATTCGATTCAATGCTGGTTTCATCGTCTTTTTTGATGTCAAATATAAAGGACGTAATTCAACCTATTTTTATTTCCCGCCTATTCGTTTGAATAAAGTTTTGTCATTTCTTCCTTTTTAGAAGTCAATTATACATGCACTGCTATGCATCAGAAGTAAGAACAACTGCCAGGTATTTGAAAATTCAATTGCATGTGTTTCCCACAAAAGGAAATTTTTGGGGGTTGCCGTTGTAAAAATACGACCCTCTCTCATGTTTTTACTCTTGCGAAATAGTGTATTAGTACGAATTTTCTTTTTTTTTCCAACCTAAGTCGCAAATAAAGGTGCTACTTTTGGTGGCGCTTTTAAATCGGCATGCTCTGCGGTACCAGTATTATGTCATATATGCTTTGACATTTGATTAGTAAAAATTTAACGCAGTTGATGCATTTTTAATTCATCAAATGAACCGAAAAAAAGTTATTTGTTTCAAACTGCAGTAAAATGATAAAAGCTCGATTTCAATTTCAGCAATTTTCCAAATCAACGTATCTCGCAATTTTTTTGAAATGCATTATTTATACATAATTGGGCTTTAGACTTTCCGATCTATTACCTGCAAAATTGAGTCTTTTTGTATTTGGTGCTACTTTTGCTGCATCGAATTGGCAATTTATTAGCATATTTTTCGGCGTTATTTGTGGCTAGTTTTTAGGGGTTCAGGCATCCGTGGCTGAGTAATTAGTGCGTGAGTCTCAATTTTGGTAGGTCGCAGATTAAAATCGGACACGAAACCGAGATTTTGCTAATTCTAGGCTTATATCTACTTTTTCTTATTCCACTTGATAGAGCTGCTTTTTGGTCGTGTTCTCGCTAGTGTTTGCAAAGCGCAGCTTTGCCTTTGTGTAATTTTTGAATTGTTGTTTCGCCAAGGGATTCAAGTTGTTCCCTTTGCATAATCATGGAACACCACAAAACAGCGGCAAAATATAGACATATTGCGTGCGATAGTCCGAACCTACAATTGCTCTGAGATTGCTGTGTTAGTGCCACGGAATTTTTAAAAATTTTCCATGGTCTATCTCGAAGCTTGTCTCAACCACGGAAACAAGAAAGTAACTTCGTCTTCAGGTATGCTTTAGTTTTTTTCCCTTTTTTTCAGCTTAAAGTCAGGTACCACAAATATTTATTAGAGTGAGTCTGAAAGCTTTTTATGACATGATTCGAGGGCTATTGATAATTTTCGAAAAGCTTGCCGTGTCGAAAAAAACCGGTTTGAAGTGATTGCTTTTTGTCTCATTTCGAGCGCATAAAGTTTGCTTGATGAAAACTCACTTAAGCCGTGAATAACTTAGTTTTGATCGAGAAAAACAAATTTTCGAAGCTTGATTTAGCGCTTTCTTGGTAAAAACAAACTTTTCAAAAAAAAAATAAAACAAGTATAACCGTTTACTGTGAAAATAGCTCTGAATGTTTCGACCCTAGTCTTAACAAAATTACTTTTTTTTTTCAAATATGTGTCATTTTTTGTGTGGTGTAATTACCCTTGCGATAAGCAAGGGTATTGCAATCGGGCACTAGACTTTTTTCCCGTTAATAATTTTGTTCTCTGGACTCGTGGTACGTTGGTTCATAATGATTTCAAATTTTTTAGTGTCTGCTGCTCACTTAGCATGAAGGTATCGAATACACCTGGGACGGCAATGGTCCTCTGTTCGAATCTAATTAGGATTTTTTTTCAAACGGTAAATATTCCGGTTCAAAAAAGTTCGGCCTATTATTTGTCGGTTTAGTTGCCAGATATAAGAATCGTTTTTTTTTCTGTAAACAAGTTTCACTGTTGTTGCTTTGAGTGTATTAGCATTTTAAAAATCCTGCCGAATCGAAATTTGTTTCAAATATTGGTTGTAATTTTACCAACGCGATTTGTCAATTTTTTTTTCTTTTTTCGTCTTTATCGGGTTAATCATTTTCGGCTTAAACTATATCGACCTAGTTGCCTCTAAATGTGCAGTTTGGGGATCGAAAAAATTTGCTCTGAGGGCAAAAGTGAAATGAATTTTTTTTTATTAGTTCAGAATTTTTTTCAATTTTTTCGGCATGAAAGATTTCTTTTCATTTTTTTCGGCATGAAAGATTTCTTTTCAGGTATTTTCGGCTGTGTTACTTCTTGGCAATTACAAATTCAAAATCAATCAACTATCCGGCGCATCTGGTGTAGAGGTGACAACTGCTTTACACTGCTTTTTTATTGACAAAAACTTTGAAATATTCAAGGTTGTTCGAATCACTACTGAAAGATTTTATATATATAACGCGAACCATTCCGACAAAAAGAAAAAAGATTAAAAAACTAAAAGACATCCGAATACTAAGTTCCTCCGTATTTTTCAAATGTTTGGAATATCTCCCAAAAGTTAGGTGTTTTTTTTATTTTCGTTCCGATCAAATGAAATGGAGAGGAACTTTTTTTTTGTGTGTGTTTAGTTTTTTCTCTTTCTTGTTTTCCACGCAAAGTCAGGTACCACAAAAATAATCGAATGAGTTGAGTGATATATCATATTAAAGCCCTCTCAGTCGTGATTCGAACGACATGGAAAAGTTTTGAAAAATTTCCCAGCTTTGAAAAGAACTTGTTTGTTATTTTTGGTTTTTCGTCCAACTTCGAGCGAATGAGGTGAGCGAGCAGGCTCAGTTTGGTGTTCATCCAAATCCAAAAGCATTTATCGCAAAGAGTCATCGCAATAGGTGGAGGGATATATCATATTCAAGCCGTTACACTCCGTCCTGATTCGAACAAAGTAACAAAAATTCAAACTGTTGTCCGAGTGTCCAGAAAAACTTGTTTGAAATTGGAAGGATAAGCTATGAAATTTTAACTCCAGGAAAATTATTTTTCGAAGGGCTTTCACTGCTATTTTAGGTAAAAACCTTCAAAGTTAAAAAAAGTTCTGGAATAGTTGATTTTTTTAAGTTTTTTTGTTGTCATTTTTTTTTTACTAAAAGCGTTGCTCGATTTGCCTTTTTTTTACCGCGTTTTTCAGACTTTTATATTGTTCGTGATTATTATTTTCTTCGTTTTAGGAAAGTTTATTACGCGGGTCGATGTTTGAGTTTTTCAATTACATTTCTATTGTTAAAAGGAAATTAAAGAAAGGTCACGAAAAGTGTGATCGACTTCCAATTTCACTATCAGATTTTGCAGCGAAATACAAAGTTTACCTATTGATCCAGTTTTTTGAAATTGGAATGATTTTATCTATAAAGTGTCTATCAGATTTTGTTCTGAAAGTTTAAAGAGCTTTAAGGCCATCATTTTTTTCTGTAAAACTTGAAAATTGAGGTTTTGCAAGAAAAACAAGTGTTTTTTTTGTCTCCTGTTTTTAGCGTTCACTGACTCTTTTTTAATTGTCTACTGGCTATGTTTGATATAATCAAATCATTCATTCAATGAAAAATGCTTTCATGGTTTTTGTCTTAATTTCCGTCGGCTCATTTTTCGTTTTTTTTTTTTCAAGTTCAATATATTTTATCTCGTACGCTGTTTTACCAGCTTGCTTTCCAAAGAATGGGTTTTTAATTTTTTTTGAATAACTTTGATTTTCACGGTTTCGGACTATTATATAAGCTTAGTCATTTTTTAACGTTTTGAAGCCAATGTGTTTCGTGCATTTCAGGAGGGATGAGTTTCAAAACCTAATAGCTAAAAGTTTTATGACACCAATTTTTTTGACTTAGTGGGGGGCGATTCAATTTCGTTGCCTCAGTTGCCGATCAGAAATTGATTCTCGATGCTTTAAAGGATTTTTACAAATTTGCTTTATTATTGACATTGCAACCCTAGCTCGTTGATTTCGAGTGCCGGTCGCTCCTTGCTTTTTCACTATTTATGAATTTTGTGCTATAATTGCCAGTCGACATTTTACATCGTCAATTACTACGCAAGTCTTACTATAATTGGCAGCAGTCGTGTTTCTTTGTAAATTTATCAGTTCGGATTTTGAATATTTTAATTTTTTCGATTGTTATGGTTTCGGCTTCTATGCGGGGTTCTAGACTTCTGAAACAGGATTCTAGACTTTACCCCGCAAATGACTTAACCCCGTTCACAGGATGACTGAAAATGGTAGTCATCTCCATCTGTATTTTCTTCTATTAACTGGAAGTTTTTCATCTTGTCTGCATTTAAACTGCCAGTTCTGTTTGAAATTTATTTTTTTTGCGGTTGTTGAGTTACCAACTCCGATTTCAGTATCTCAGTTTTTTTATTGTGTCTGTATTAGATTGATTCTTTGTCTCCACGGTATGAGCGGATAGAACAAAGAATTCAACGGATGAATTGATGTTTTTTTGCCCAGCAAGTTTCAGTTAAAAGCGTAAGTCAAGTTTCTGCTCTTACATTTTGATAATTTTCAATTTTTTCCAATTTACAGTAAGTTTTGAATTGACTTCCATTGATTATTTAGAGCGCTAGTCAAAGTGATGAAACAGCATTGTAGATATTGAAAATTTTCTCCAGTAAAATGTTTCGAACATTTTTGTAATAATCTCGGTTAAGTATATTTTTTTCAATTCACCCGAGTGTTTTAACCGTTTTTCTTCTGAAGCATGACTCGAAAGTAGTGCAAGGCGCTGCTTCCTAATTGTATTATTACACTCGCAATAGCAAAAGTACATTGGAAATGGGTACAAAACATTTTTTCCAAAATCTGGTAATCCTTAACTGGTCATCCATAATTCTCAAAATCTGGTAGTCCTGATCTCTTTACAGTTCTTGAAAAAGTTTCACTAACGTCAACTTCAGGGGGCTTTATTGCAAAGTAAAAACTTTATTTCACTTCGACAATAAAGATGCACGTGCTTAGTTTTAACAACCTAATAGAAACAAACTGCTATAGAAATATAGAAGTAGCTGAATTCGACCTTTTCATGAGGTGGTACAATTTTTATTACACTAGTGATTGCAAGGGTAATGCAATCGGGTACTAGATTTTTTTTCTTAAATAACTTAAGGCACAGAATGGTCAAATTATAAATGGTAAATTTAGGTTCAGTTCTTAATTAATTCTATTTTCTTTGTGTCTCCGGCACATTTGGTCTGGAGGTAACGAATACGCCTGGGTCGGCAAAGGTCTTGGATTCAAATCTGACAGGACCTGTTTTTTTTTAAACGAGAAATATTCCTTTTCACAAAAAAGTTCGTCTCATTATTTGTCTGCTCATGTTTCGTCGGCTGAATTGTCATACTGTTGAATTGTTGCTGTTTTTTGATTTTTCTTGCATTATAGTTACTTTTAGTGTTCGGATTTACCCCAGTTTGGAATTTTACTAACCATGACTTTTTGTTTTATTTTTTTTCGCTTAAAAGTTTTATCTGCCCAAATGATTTCGGTCTATTTTGTTTTATCGGCTTACTGACCTAATTTAGTTTTGTTTCAAGGAAAACAATTTTTTTATGCGCTCTCTGGATTGCACAAAATGCTAAAAATTGTAATAAAAATCTAGTTCTAGATTTTACGGACAGTTTTTTTTCGCCTTTTCTGTTCTTTTTCTTTCGACTTAATAGGTTTTGGCCTATATTATATCGGTTTTATGGCCATATTGCGTCTTTTAAAGCTCGAAAAAAAGTTGCTTAGGCGTGTCTGTGTTTTGAGGGCGAGGGGGACTTATTAACTTAAGTCTTGTTGATTTTTTTTCATTCTAAAGGGTTTCTGCCAAGGTATTTTTTCGGTTTTGGCACCATTTAGCAAATTCTTTTCCGACGCTTATTTCACATACCATTTTCCTGGCTTTTTTTAAATTTGAAAACTAGCCTTATTTTTTTGAAAGATCTAGTTTTTTCGACATTTTCGAATTTTTTTGATTTTTCAGCTTTGCCTTTGTGTCATAGGTGGGGTTCGATAACAATGCACACATACATACATACACATACAACTTCTTCATTTTTTATCTATATTTTTAGGCAATCTTTTAAATCAAGATTTGCGTTTGTGGTTCCATTTTTCCGAACATTTGGAAAGTTTGGTGGAACTTTGTATTCGGGTGTGTTTTAGTTTTTTATTCTTTTTTTTTGTTTTCAGCTACGGCAAATAATCATCGGAATGGGTCGAGTGATGTATCCTATTGAAGCCGTTTCAGTCGTGATTCGAACGACGAAAAAATTAATTTAAGCTGGGAAAACTTAATTTTACTTGAGTAAAATTAATTTTTTGAATTTTTAGCTCCAATTTGGGAATCAAATCTTCAAGATTCAAAAAATTTCAGCAAAAAAAAAATTTTTTTTTGAAGTTTAAGAATTTAACGATTTGGCTTTTTGTTTTTCTAGTCATTTTTCTATAGAAACTGTTTTTCAATTGGCCTATTTTACTATGACTTTTGAATATGCCTAATCTCTTTAATTCCTTTGTTCTGATATTTTTACTATACCACGCCGAAAAAACTACACTAATTTGAAAAAAAAAACGTTTTTCAAGACTATGGTCGGAACGTTCTGTGCTACTTGCGCAGTAACCGGCTATCTTTTGCTCAAAACCTCTTTCTGCTCAAAAGTGTGTTGCTCAAAACCCACTTCTACAAAGTAAAACCAATGGAAAGACCGGTCATTCTTATGTGCCTGCAAAATCCATTAGTCTCCTTGATTTTTATCTTTCTACAGTCTTCTTTCATGGTTTTTTTATTTAACTTTCTATTATTCAAAAAAGTTCGCGATACATTATTTTCTTATTTTTCTCTTTGTTTTCTTTTTTTTTCACTTTTCTGCATTGCAACTGGTCGGAGTTCTGCTTCGCTTCTGGGTAAACCTTTGTTTGGGCAAACTTCGCTTCAAGGAAAAGGAATAATGCAATTTGTTCCCTATCACGTTCGCTGCTAAGTACCGAAAATTGCACCACCCTAAGAACACAAATAAGAATCTTTTGTCAAGTTTTGCTTTTCAAAAAAACTGTTCAGTTTAACTAACTTCTTGCGAAAAATACCACGGGCCTTCTATTGAACCAATATCTCATGGTGAAAGTTTTACCTTCTACCTCAGGTAATCATAGTATTTTTGTTGGAGATTAAGTTAGTATCATATCAGGTTAATAACTCTCATTCGTGATTCAAATTTTGTCTGTGTTGAAAAAACTTGGTCTGGAATTTTTAGATCTCATTTTTGAGAACAAGTCTGGCTTCGTCTTAATTAAGCGTTATCATAGTTGAATGTAAGGAAAGTTTTAGGCAGAAAATTTGATTGAAAAATAATATCAGCCAGTGTGTGCTGCCGACAAACAACTGAAAAATTTTAATCTCAACTTTAGTTCTATTCAAGTCATAGACGTTTTTGTTTTCTTAAGCTTTCTTTGTTACTACTGTCAATCTCTTGCTTTTGAAAATTCCCATAGTATTGTACGGAACTAGAATTTGCCATGGAAATGAGAAATTAAATCAAAAGTTAAATGGCATTTGAGCATACTATAATTTCTCGAGACATACTGACATTTGTTCATGCGGCGCGTTTTTTTTCGGTGTTCAACAATCGATGGAAGTCATATTAGTGCTGAACTCTAATGATTTTCTGACTCTCCTGCCATTTGAACAAAAACGTTACTGATCATTCTGTATCAGCTAATTTTTGTAGGGCAACATTGAAAACGCAACACGAAACTTTCGAAGCATTCAAAAGTTTTTTAATGTAATTTTCAATTCATATGGTTTATCTCTAGAAAGATTTTTTTTGGTTTGCCTCACTGAGATAAGGTAATAAATGCAAGATCCTTGTAAATATTGTGTAAATATTGAACTTAGTTTTTCCACTTGTTTTTAGTCTTAGCCATATAAACGGGAAAACCATGCATTTCTGATGTCAAATTAATGTGGCTTTTTTTTCTGCGGATGCAAATAGGTCTTTTCTGTTTGATATTCATTCAAACTTACTTAAAAACCTTACTTAAAAACCTTACTTACAGAGTTTAATGCAAGTCAATCATTGAAATGTAATCCAATTTGCTTCAAAATCGTTGATATGCAAGATTGCACAAATTTTTCTACCTCAGAGAAAATAATTACTTAAAATAATCACTTGAAATCGTTATGATGTGCTTTCGATGTCGCCCAATATATTTGTTGTCAAAAATTTTAGATTCGATGTTCATCGACTGTTAGAACCAGAGCTCATTATTGGATGGAAGTGTGGTTTAATGGCGCTTATCAGAGCTACGCAACCTTCAGAGGCGCATTTTGCCATCATTTCCAGCCTCTCAAAGTTAATCGCCGATGAAAATGCGTTGACGGTGAGTAATTGGTCAAAGGCTTTCAAATTTTGTAGACTTGGCGCAAATATTTTTGTTCCGACCTCGTCACAAATTAACGGTTGAGAACTTTGCTGAAGGGTGGAGTTTCGTGCAATTTAAGTCGACTCCAGAAAAGCTCGCTGGGTGTCACACGTGTTATCATTTTGAAGCACTGTTGGCCGTGAAGTTTTTAACATTAATTATTGTGGCCAGAAAATTTGTGTGATACTTGCACAGAAACTGACTATCCTTGTTTATTTATACTGGGGAAAAAATTAATGTATAAGATAACTGGAAATTAAGTAAATCAAAAGAAAACCCTTGTCAATTTTTACTGATTGTTGCAGCTTTTATTTAAGCTTTGCGTTCAAACAATTCTCCACGCAGTTGAAAAGAGTTTTTCTTGGACCAAATTTTGTTTTTACTTCTATAAATCTTACGTTTTACCAATAAAGTTTGACCCGATATGCTTGATTGTTTCAGTTATTACGTACTGTGCAAGAGAAAAGGATCTAACATTACTAGATTTACCTAATAATTAATTTTAAAAATTTATGAGTTTATTAGTACAACCAGGTTAGAAACTTCAACATTTGAAGCAAGCTTTTTAATTACCGGTAAGCTTAATTTAAAAAAATTTCACTTGTTTTAATTAAATCAATCAATTTCAACTACGTACAAAAATTCCATTTTATTTTACATTAAAACATTTCATGTTCAAAGGCTTTCGAAAAACTAACAGTCTCTGAAAATATAATATGTAAGCCAGAATAATTTTGCTTGCGGTAGATTTTGTTTCGACGTAAAAAGAAAGTGACTGAATTTTTGTTCTCTCGGTGTTTTTTCTCCAGATCAATTTTAACTCAATTGTGACGCAATTTTAATGGAATCTGAAACCTATTAATATCCTAAGCTCAAAGTTAAAATGATATTTCCTTTGATAGTTTTTTAAATAAAATTATGTTGGTTTGATAATTGAGAATTTGATCAAATTGGGATAATGACGCGCGATGTTTTACGTCATATTAGGGCGTAAGCGGCCAATTAAATCATTCCAAATTCAATTGAGGCGGGTATTTAGGCTTTATAAAACTCAATTTATATGTTTTCAGACGCAAAATATGTCGTTTTAGTACTATTTGCATAGCGTGCGGAGTGATAAAAACAAGAGAAAAACTGAAAATAAATCTTTCAAGCGATCGAAATAGTTTTGAGCGAACTTTTTTAAAGGATATTGACTCCCTGAGTTCAATGTCAAAAGATAATTTACCTGCGAGTGTTCGGCAAAGTTCAGGTGGTTTTAAAATGGCCAGTTTTGCCATGTTCTGGGCTAATGCATGCGCTTTGAAAACTTTATTTATAGCGTTAACAGCGGAACGCTAATTATTTATGCGTGGCGAATTTACCCGCTTTCAAAATTGTTCCAAATTGAAACGAGTAAAGTTTATCGGTCAAATTAATTCTAATTTTTTCACAACTCAAAGTTTTACACTAGCCAACGTAGTGTATTAGTATGAACCTCCTTTTTTGCTTTCTAAGTCGCAAATAAAAGTGCTCATTTGGTGGCACTTTTGCCGTAATCACGACATGTAGCTTTTGAAATTTCTTAGCATCTGTTCTATGCTTGTTGAGAGTTATGCGAACTTGGACTAGTGAGTTGAACGTGAGAGTATTTGTCGCTAGGTTACTGCTTCCAATCCGTCGCGTAGCAAAAGTTTTACTAATTTGAGACTTGTTTACTTTTTCTTATTCATTTTATAGAACTGCTTTTTTGTGGTTTTCTCGATAGTGTTTGCAAGCAAAGCACAGCTTCGCCTTTGTGTAACTTTTATTATTTGATATTTGCAGGTAGTCTCGAATTTTTTCTCTGCCAAAAATTTTCTCTAACAGTTGAAGGGGAGTCGAGACATTCTGATGTAGAGCAGTGTTGTTTATAGGTGAAGTTATAAGTTTCACTTTTTATGTGTGAATTTTTGGCTGGTTTGAATAATTGCAGTGCGATAAGTTAGAATCCTAACATTCTCCTACTTTTTGTTTAAAAACGCTTATTGAGCCAATTAGTTTGTTATTTTTAAATCAGTTGCCTGAATTTTGATGACATATTTTTAGAACCCCCTTCCTTCGTAAACAATTAATTTTGAAAGAATTTTGGTTTTTTTTTCAGGACGAATCGCAAAGAGTAGTTTTGAGTTCGAACGAAGCTGCATGGTTTGTGGAGAGTTGGATTGTGGAATATGCCATTGCTTATATGCTTACGCATGTCGTAAAAAGTAAGAATTATTATCTATTTCTCTTTCATTTGTCGATAAACAAAAAACTTTTAAAAATGTTCAACAGGTCCTTAAGTTTGGTAAGAACTAATAGGTTTTACCCTCTTTTTAATTTTCTCACCTCTTCCAAAACAACAAAAGAGTTGTCCAAAATTGATTTTACGGGTGTTTGAATATAACATAGGTTGTTCAACTATGTTCCTTGTACACTTTGTCAATTGATTTAAACTAGATTTTACGAGAAGTTACAATTGCATTTGGTGAAAAAGTTTGTTTTCCGAGAAAAGTTTGTTGCAATTATTTTTTCCTGCAGTTTGTCAGAACCATTGAAAAAACATTTGATTTCTTTATAAATTACATTTTAGTTAACTTCTTTGAAGCGCTGAAAATCAAGCCTGTTTGTTTTGTGACAATTCCGATATTCTTTTTTTGTAAACTTCTTTAGCTGTATGGTCAAAATTAGAAATGGTAGGTTGGCTTCTATTTAACAGTTTTTTTGTTTTTGTAAAAGATTGGATTCTCTTCAATTTGAACAGTAGCGATCTTTAAAGATTTCGAGCTGGTTGATTGTCATCAAAAATATAAAAAACTATGTAAACTATTTTGCCATAAATTTATTTACACGTGGTAATTTTTTTGGTTTTGATGAGAAAAAAAAAGATTTTTGTCGCGTCATTCCTGTAAGTTTGGTTTTATCGGCGATGAAGTCACAAACTAGATGGATTTCGCCAAATGCTTAAGACTAAGTATCATTAACTCGAGAAAGTTTTGTGGATGCTCAATTTACTTGGATAAATTGTTGCTGTTGCATAGAAAGGGGATCACCGAAATCGGCATCTCATATACATATTTCAGAGAAACTTAAAATATAAAAAATCGCAGTCAAAAGTCAGCTAGGCTTAAGGAATGGATCTTATTTGTTCCCTTCAAGGTGAGTCTGAGTTCGATCAGTAGGACTGACAATATCTGTGTTGCAGGAGTTGTGGCGCACAATGACACTAATCAGCCGTACGACGGACTCTTCTCCAGTGACCTGAGTGCCTTGGAGTCCTGCAACATACACCCCACGTTTGAACTACTTCACATGGTCAATTTAGCCGTGGAGCAAGTGGCCAAATCGAAGGACGACCGAATCGTAGTGACACCTGGCCTCTTCACGAAGGCTTCTGAGAGTTTGGAGAACTTGACGAAAATTTTCAAGCCTCAGATCAGATCCAGGGCAATTGTGTACTTAAATGCTTTGGTGAGTATTGGCCAGTATTTTTGTCACTTGTAGAATTCTAGTTCGTACTATTTCAGCTTTTAGTCATTCGTAGAAACTGATGTCATTATCTTTTTAGTATCAATGGACGAAGTGAAGATACTGATTTAGTTTAGGTCCCGGGGTTTTTAAGCGTTATTGAATGATGTGATTGATCATTTGTTAAGCTCGGCTGCTTTTTTCCAGAAAAAAAGGATATTTAAAACTAATTGGTATCAATAGTCATTGTCAAATTGTTGAACAACTTTGTTAATGAAAAATTTTTGATCCAAAAAGAAATCAGTTTCAATTGCAAATGGTTTCAGTGTATTCAAGAGATCGTGCATGAAGGCAATGCTACCGACTATGAGCTCGAGAAGCGCATTAAACGACTCTTCAATCCAAAGGTATGTTCAATGAAAACATTCAATATTATCTCAAGCATGCGACATTGATCATCTATTCAGTCCTCATGCACAAAGGCGTAAAAGCTAAGTTTCCCAGTCAATTAACAAATGCTGGATGCGTAGCATAGAAAAAATACAATTGGTATCAAAAACATTTTCGTGATGGAAAATAGCGTCGAAAAGTGTGGTCAAATATTTTTCGGCATCATAAAATTGGATCGGTTTATCAACAAATTTTTTAATATCGGTAAGGGTGGGAGAGGGAGTTTGGGTTGACGAGCTCAAGTTTTACAATAATGAACAAGAGTTATTATAGATCTGCGGCGAGGTAAGGAACACGTTTAACCATTGCTCGCATCTTGGTAGCTTGGTCTTCATTTCTGTACTCACAAAGCCTGCAAACTAATATTTAATCTGCACGGTCAATTACACAGCTAACAGTAACAATATACATATTAAAATTTATCATAAATTTCAAAAAATGATCCGGGAAGATTTTTTATCGTTTAACTGCATGTGTTTGATACTTTGAATGACTCGTTTAGTTCGTTAAGATGAACCGTTTTGCTCGTTTGTTCGGCGCTTTTTTCTTGCTTGCCCTGTTGTTTTTGTTCTTGTCGTTGTTGTTTTTGTTGCTGCAGTTGTAGTTGGTATTGTTGTGGCAGTTCTTGGGGGTTTACATGTATAATGCCCTCCTGTAGAAGATATTTGTAAATAAGGACATCAACAAATGAGGATCCCAAAGGTCCCACGAAGTACACCCATTGATCTTTGAAGTCCCACATGATTAAAGCAGGGGCGAAGGATCTAGCCGGATTTAAACTAGCGCCAGTGGCTCCGGCTCCGCTGAAGATGCACGCAACTACTGTGAATCCGGCAGAGTAAGCAGGCACACCCTAAAGGAATCACCCAATAATCTTAAAATGAAGATACATTATTGCAAAACATGAAAAAAAATTTTATTGCGTGGGGGGAATAAATTGCGTGGGGGGAACTATCAGGGGTTGTCGCAATTTTGGATCAATTTGCTAAATATCATTTAGTGCTGATTTGAATTATCCGGACAAAACAAAAAAGAAATTCGTAACTTTAAACGCGTTTTTCTCAAGATTGGATTAAAAGTAAAGAGAAACAAAATGTTTAGAATTTAACCAGATTTATGGTGTTATTTTTTGCAAAATTCAGAACCAAAATTCTACCCCAAAAATGGGTAATTTTTTTTTTCGTTAATCAAGAATTAAGTTTAAACTGCTACGTTGCTTAATGAGAAATTTATATCAGAAGGAACCTCTTACACAGCCCAACAAAGGTCTATTAGGATGGAGTCACGAGAAATCTTTAAATATATATATATATATATATATATATATATATATATATATATATATATATATATATATATATATTGGGTTTGATAGCCAAAAATGGTCGTTTTTAACAAAATACAAATTCATTGCTTGAAAACAAACTTGAATTGAACGTTTTGGGCAAATTTTTGAGGTTATACCTTTTAAAATTTGTTTGGCTGTATAAGATGCCAACTTTTATAATCATTAGATCAAGCGTAATTTTCGATTGACTAAAGGAAACCAAAATGACCCATTGGTGGGGTAAGGTTTTGGCGCCAAAATTCTCAAAATAAATTGCATCATAATAATTCTGGTAAACATCTATGCAACTTTGGTTTTCATATTTTATTGTCTTATCTCAACCCAATAGTTTAAAAGTTTCAAATTTTGTCCAGATAATTTAAATCAGCATTTGGCGGGTAATTGAACGAATTAGGCGTGTAAACGAATAATTAATTTACAACTTGCTTGTTCTAAAGTCGAACGAAAATAAGACCAACTGATATAATTACCCTTGCGATAAGCAAGGGTATTGCAACCGGGTATTAGACTTTTTTCCCGTAAACAACTTTGTCCACACTCATCTGGACGTCTGGACTATTCTCTACCTTGTTTCATAGTATTCAAATTTCTTAGCGTTCCTGGCCAACTTAGCGTATGCTTGGCCAACAAATATGTCTGAGACGGCGAAGGACCTGGGTTCGATTTTCACCAAGAACTGTTTTTTTTTTCACACGGGATTAGTTCTGTTTCGAAAAAATTGTCGGCCAATTTGTCTGCTTATCTTTTGTCGGCTTAGTTGTCACATCTTGGAATTGTTTTTTTTTACGCGCTTTGTTAATGTTGTTTTAAGTGTTTGATTTAAGCCTACATTTTGTATTTTAACTTACCTTGTCTTCATGTTTCCTTCTTTTTTTGTTTCACTAAAAATTCCTCGGCCAAAATTTTTTCGGCCAATTTTTTCATCAGCTTAATGACCTACTAATTTTGGGACGTTTCAAGATCAACACAATTTTAGCACTCGCCTCCGCACTTTTCAAGTTGGCTGTATGTTTACCAAACTGTTTGTTGATATTTCATTTTTTTTTGTTTTGGAAAATTTTTTTACTTTTTGCAAAAAGTTTTTTTTTCTCAGAAATTTCTGATTTTTTTTAAATCAGAAAAGTAGTATCATTTAAAAGATCGCTTATTCATCTGTGTGCCTACATAAAACCCTAGAGTCTTTTTTACTCTACCCCGCTGACTACAGCCTTCGAAAAAGTGTGGGGGAATATTTGACCCATATTTTGACTTTTTTTGTTTTCTCGAAAACTACCACTCTCAAATATAATTTTAACTTTGTCATTTTTTTTGTCAAATTTTTGACATAGTGTCAACCGTTTTGTGAATTTTTTCGATTTTTCTCGAAAACTAACCTCTCAAATCCGATATTGTGGGCTCAAGGAGACAACGGGTACAGTTTTTATGACAGTTTTTTTTTAATGATTTTGTCTTTTCTCAAAAACTACTCTTCCAAATTTGATATTGGGGTTCAATGAGATAACGGGTGGTGGCAAGCTCCCCTGCATTAGCGAACACTAACATAAAATTTTACACAATAATTTATCGCCCCCTGAAATTTTTGTTTTTTGACCGTTTTCTTAAACTTTTTGAATATTCTCGAAAACTACCCGGCCATACCTGAGATTTTAAGTTCAATTCTCAGAACAGGTTTTGGAAAAGTTCATTTGCTAATGCGACTTCGCACAAATTTCTGACTGTCAAAATTTTGCCCCTCGGAAAAGTAAAATTTTTGATTTTTTGTGACAGTTTTCGACTTTTCTCAAAAATTGCGTGAATAACGTTTCTGCATAATTTTTTCACACAAATCTATGATTTTCGGAGTCGTCAAAATTTTGATTTGTTGACCGTTTTTTTATTTTTCTCGGTAAATATCCTGCCAAATCTGATATGAAAGCTTTAATCGAATGAATTGGTTGTTGAAAGCCCATTTTTCAAATTAGCTATGCCCATTTTGTTTTTATGAAAAGTTATGGCCTTCAAACAAGTCAAATTTTTGAATCTTCAACAGTGGAAGCTTATTGACTTTACGCGAAAACTACCGATCCAATTCTCAGGTTATGTACAATCGAGAAACCTAGCTTAGAAAATTTTCTCTGCTGAAGCGGCCATAATCTGCTATGTGCAGAAAAACATTATGGATTTTGGAAATTTTGAACGTTTTCTAGAACTTTCGACCGTTTTTAGAAACTTTTTGTTATGAAGAAATGTTATCTTCTTGGGAAATTTGATCATCTCAAAATTTCCTACTCATCTCACTTATTTTAGAAGAAAAACACTTATGTTTTAGGCAAAATTCAATTTTTGAAATCACACTTTTCGTGCCGCATAAGTATAGCAAATTCATTCAATATCAAAGACTATCTCCAGTTTTAGCTGGCCCCTAGTTTTCCACATCTAAATTTTTTCGACTTATATTTTTTTAATGTTTGTTTTGTATCGCAAGTGGTGCGAAGCTCCGCTTTGCCTCTGCGTAAATAGTGATTCTTTATTCGGCGAATAGTTGTCTTTTAATTGGGTGTCCGTTTTTGCTTTGTTTGCTCTACTGTCTCTCATAATTGTCTATCAAGTTTGCTGTCTTGATCTGACCCGTCTCCTTGTCATTAACACTTTTTGCAATTTAATGCAAACTAGTTTTTTATTTACGCCTCTTAAAAGCGACGTATTTTGTTTCTAACATTCAGGGTATAAACTGTTTTGCATATAAATTCCAATGGTTACCTTCAGACCCCCTTCCCCAATATTGTAGAGCTCAATTTTATTAGGGGGTGTGATCTACGGAGAAGTCGATTTGTGTTGCGGGGGTCTCGAATTAGAACGAATTGAGTATATTGGAACGAAATAATAGTTTTGTCACAATACTTGCCTGTTTCGTTCAGTGCAATTTATTTAAAGACGTTCTATGACATTTGGCGAAACGTAGTAACTATTTGATTTTGATGGTTCACGGTTGAGTTGGTTACCTCAAATTCTCTGTTTGGATTGTTCTCTGTGAGCAGCAGAATGGCGAGTACCAATAGGGTGGTGATAGTGACCTCCCATGCCACTGCTTGGTATAGGTTGAGAGAAGGGTTCACCTTCGTCATCCCCAGACTAGTCTTGTCTACCCATTCACGCGGAGATAGCAAGTACAAATAGCCAGTGCCTGCAGCGCCACCTAATAAATGCAAAATACATGGATTAACTTTCTAAAGAGTCAATGAACGATGTGAAGACACTAATGTAGGTCGTGTTTTTTTGACATATGTGAAGTTGACAATAGATTCAAATTCGATTCTCACTCACATGGGGGATGAAAATTTAATCATAATCTTTTCGAGACACCGTTGCTCCAAAATTTTGAATGAACTTCAAAAGTTTTGACTCAGAGTGAAAATGTTGCCAAAACTTGTGAAGTCAGCAATAGATTCGACAAAACTGATCAAAGTAAGTTAATTGAACGAATCTGATTGGTTAGTCTAAGCCTGGATGAAAATTTCATGTAAAAAGCTCAGGAAAAATTAAAGCGATGAATTTTTAGAGCAAGGTTAAAAATTTGACCTAATTTGGATTCCAAAATGTTTGTTTTGAATAATAAATTTCGAAAGTTCAATTTTTAAGTCGAATAAAAGTTTTTAATTGTTCTTAACTGAGTAAAAGCGTGTATTTTTGTAATTTTCTTTGAAGTAAAACTGTAAAAAGTGAATTTGTAGCTGACTTCATTTTTTCCAGCAACACATATTTTGAGTCTTATTTTTTTAAAGATTCATGAAGGTAGTGAATACTCTTTAATAGGTCGTGGTGATTATTTATTAATTTTTTTTATAATAATAATAGTAGTTTACGCTAAAATATGATTTTTCGCGGTAGGGTTTTTGATTCTTAATGTTCAATTCATTTCTTTTGTTAAAAGGAAGGCAAACTCCTCTACCGAACAGCATAAGTGGGATCTTACAGGGGATCTTTGTGAACAATTCGGCGACTAGATATGACTGAGAACAGGGCGATTCCCTTTTACTGCAACGATTGAAATTTCACCGCTAAGTATTACTGTTGATGAAAAATAAAAAGGGTTTATCAAGAACAGGAGTTACCTGCCATTTGTGCGATAGAGTAGAGAAACGCATGAATGGGGTGGATCCTTCCCATCAGCGCCAGTGCTAGAGTCACTGCTGGGTTGATGTGGCACCCGGAAGTGGGTCCAATTAGGTGCACTAGGGCCACGATAACACTAAAGAAACCAAACGCCGGAACTAGTATGTCATCCATGTGCGGCGAATTGGCACTCAGTAGTATTGAAGATGTACCAAAGAACATTAGTACGAATGTGCCCAAAAACTCGCACAAAATTTCTTTAAAAAGGTTCATTTGAAGTGTATTTGTCCGGATGATATGAACAGTTTTTTAAATAAAAGAGGTTTTTACTGTTCAGATGCTTTGGTGGCTCAAGTTAAGGCCAGACTACTTGAATTGAGTCTACTGTAGATTTAAGAATTTTATCATTTAGAAAGTGATTGTGAAAAAGAATAATTACGCTGCACTTTTGAATGCATAAAAACAATTTTATCTATAAAAAGCTATTAATGTGAATGCAAAATCTTCTAGATAAAAAAATCCGATAACTGCTGATTCGATTTGCGGTTCAATTTCAATGACGAAATAGGTAACATGTACACGGAAGCTTGCATGCATATCCGGTTAACGGCAATTCTTGGGAATTGATCGAGGCGTATGTTGTATAGTCTTTATTACTAGGACTATAAAAATAGATTGTTCGCTATGGCAATTATGCGTCTGCAGAAGCTAAACTCGAATTGTGTTTGGCAGAGTTTTCCCCCTGCTTGTTTGGTGGTCAGTTCTATCCAGACAATTCAGAGCGAAATGGAGTAAAAGATCCTAAATTGGCTGAAAATTTTCTCTTTGTCTCAAAGTTCAAGAGTTTTTAATGGAAAAATTGGATAACATAATGCAAATGGAAGCTCAACAATCAGCTTATCGACAGCTTTAAATGCAGAAATTGTTATCGGATAAAAACTAGAAACAAGATAGAAGTTTTGTTCCAATTTTGTGAAATGTAATTTTCATGTTTAGCATAGTGTTTAAGAGTCGATGAACGTAGTGATTTTTGTATAGGTTGCGATGATTTTTAGTTTTTTCAAGAATTTCTTAATTGTTGTTCACTTTTAAGTTTGATTTTTCAAGGTGTGACCTTTGATTTTTCAATTTCAATTCATTTTTTTTTGTTAAAAGGAAGACAAACTCAATTATCGAACTGCTAAAGTACAAAAAAAGTCTCAAAAAAACGTGATCGACTTCTAAATTTCTAGGTTATTTTTATTCAATAATTGTCGATCATAGGTTGTTCTTCAAATTCAAAGAGCTTTAAGGCCCTTTATTTTTGAGGCCGTAAAAACGAATTTTGCAAAATGTGGGATTCACCATGTCGCTAAGTTTAAGGTTTTTCAACCTTATTTTTGCATGTTTAACGAAAGAACGTCAGGCTTAAGCTATATCGTATATTGCAATGGTTAAGATTTTTTTTCGATTTTCCAGTTTGAATTCGGTCTCTATTCCACCAAGTTTAGAATAAGGAGCCGAATAGTGGGATGTTGTCAGGGTTCTACCTCCAAATATGACTACTCAAATATTTGTAATTTTCGAGATTTGATGTTTTTAGTGTTTTTATAAGAAAATTTTCGGACATAAAATTTCAGTTTCACAAAATTTGAAATTCTCAATTATGTCGTTGGATAATGTGAGGGTGCTTCAGGAGTTGCAAGTTTTGCGTTCAAATGCGACTGCTCAAGTAATTTAAGTTTCCGCGATGTGACGTGTTTTTGATTTTTTCAGAAGTTTTCAAATAACTTACCTGCAAAAATTTCAAAATTTGAAACGCCTAATTTGATGAAGAGGCAACCTTATTGACTTTTCAAATGAAATGGAAAAACCAAGATTCAAACAACTAAAAAATTTAGTTTGGACTAGCGTTTAACGCACCTCCGATGTTTAGAATTTTTGACAACCCATGAGAAACCGCATATATTGGAAACTAAGGTGCGTTAAACGCTAGTCGAAATTAAATGTTTTAGTTGTTTGAGTCTTGATTTTTTCATTTCATTTAAGAAGTCCACTTTAAAGTCCATATTTGCTATATGGAAGACAAATTAAACTCACCGAGTAAAAAGTGCTAATAGGGCAAAAAATGGAGGTTGAATATCAATTTGAAACAAAGTCTAATTTTAAGCTTTTTCAGCAGAGTTAAGAAATACCCCGTTGAAATGAGTTTGCTCAAATCACTATAGAATCAATGTTAATTTAGAACTTGCTCAATTGAATGTTCCAACTGTGGATTGGCTTAATATATTTGGCCAATATGTATCTTTTGACCCAGTTTTTATCTCATTGCGTTGTTTTTTTTTGAAAATTTTTGAAGTTGAAAGAGATGCTTTTTCATCGGAACTGAAAACCAGAAACTTTTTGAAAAAGCTTTACCGTGGACTTAATTTGTTTTGGTTTCTTTAGATTCATTGGAACTTTTTTCTCCATCTTTCAGTTGGCTGTTTACACAAAGGCAGCGTAGTGTGATAGTCTGATTCATTTTTTTTTCCAATCTGAGTAGCAAAACTTATTGCTATTTTTGATAGCACTTTTGGAAGTGCTTATGATTTTGCGATTCTTATGAATGCTACTATTGGCCCTCAAATATTTGATTTATCATGATTCAATTTAAGCAAAAAGCTATTCATTTCCTACAACTGTACAATAATTACCCTTGCGATAAACAAGGGTATTGCAATCGGGTACTAGACTTTTTTCCCGTAAACATCTTTGTTCACATGACTCATCTCTAGTGTACTTCTGGACTCAACTCTAGTGGTACCTCCTGAGCAATTCCGTCTCACTTTAAATTCTTAGCATTCCCGGCCCACTTAGCCTGGAGGTAACAAATTCGCCTGATACAGCAAAGGTTCTGGGTTCGAATCTGACAGGGACCTTTTTTTTCAAACGGGAAATATTCGTTTCAAAAAAAATTGTCGGCTTATTGTTTGTCTGCTTAGGTTTTGTCGGCCTAGTTGCCATATCGTAGAATTGTTTTTTTTCTTGCTATGCGCAGTTTACATTGTAGTTGATCTTAGTGTTTTGATTTACTTCTGCTGTTTATAATTTCTTGGCTTGTATGTTTTCCTTTTAATTTTTTTTGCTTTCATTTTCTGTCCAAATGATTTCGGCTTTTATTTTATCGGCGAAGTGACCTAATTTTGAGTCGTTTCAGTGAAACGTAGTTTTTATGCTCACATCTGGATCGCGCAATTTGGTAAAATCTTAATAGAAAATATAGACTTAAATGGCTTTTTTGGCTTAATTAGTTTCTGCCTATTATTATTTCTTTTCTTTTTCCTTTTTCGGCTTTACTGGTTTCGGCCTATTAATATATATCTTAAATGGGCTCATTTGCGTCTATCGACCAGCGAAAAAGTTTTGTGCGTGCTTGTGTGTTTTGAGGTTGAGGGCCTGAAAGGGTTTCTGCTAAGGTATTTTCGGCTTTGTTACCGCTCGGTAAATTTTCTTCCGATACTAATTTCACGTTCTATTGCTTTTTTAAATTGTTGTTTCGCAAGTGGTGCGAAGCTCGGCGTCGCCTCTGTGTAAATACTCTCAGCAATTTTCGGGCTTATAGAAACTGGCTTAGCATTTTCCAATTTATTGCATGCAAAATTAGTGTTGTTGTCTTGAGCTTATTACACATAGGAGAGGAAGTGTCTTGTAATCGTGACCTAGACTTTTTCCCATAACCACCTTTTGGTACAAATCGCACTTGCTTTTCATACGTGCTTTATCATTGAAGCTTAAAAACTTACAAATTTTTCCCCTCTTGGCCTAGAGGTAACGCCGTCGCCTTTGAACCCTAAGGTAAGTGGTTCGAGTCCCGACTGGGTCCTGTATTTCCAGTAAAAGTTTAATTATCGGACTTTCGTTTGTGCGCTTAAAGTTTGTCGGCTCAGTTAACATTTCTCGAATATTGCTTGTGCTGTAACGAACTTTCCTTGTAGCAGCAAATGTTATTGAATGTAGTTTCAGGGGAAATTGAAATGGTGTCTACTGTAAGATAGTCGGCTTGTTGCCACATCGCATATATTCTTGTGCTATTAGCAAATTGGCTTGTAGTTGCAAGTGTAAATGCTGTTCTCTGTAGCTTCCATAGGGACTTAAAACTTGATTGATTTTTATGAAATCGTTGTTTTCCGGCTCAACTTGTGTCTGCTCAATGATTTTCGGCTTTATTTTCTCTTGCCAGTTTTTATTCCATTTTCTAATTTCCCTTGCGATAAGTAATGGTTATGCAACTGGGTACTAGAATTTTTCCGTGAAAATTTTCGTTCACAGGTGGTAGTACATGCAAGATTGGTGGCAGATGCAAGATTTTTCTGTGTGGTTGTTTAAATTAGAATTTTTTGGCTGTCTTACGATTTATTAAGTGTCGGCTCTAATTTTGACGGCTTCTTTACCTAATGTTTTTTAAATTTGTTGCAGGTCGTTTTTGATTACTTTGACAAAGTGCCAACTTTGACAAGGTATGTTTACCTTTGCGATAAGCAAGAGTATTGTTGAAGTTTTAAAATCATTTCTGCGACCTTCTTGAAAAATTTTTAAAAACATGATTAAATTTTTAAAATTTTCTTCCTTTTTAATAAAGCTTTGGTCGAAATCTTAGCGAAAAAAAAAATGAAATAGTCGACAGTTGTTTTTTGCCAGCGTTTTTCTTTTGGATATTTTTTTCGTCTTAGTTTGTTTGGACTTAGTCTTGATTCCTCGTGATGTCCGAAAGTTTTTGCTGCTAATTGATTCCATTTAATGGTACATTGAAATTATCAAAGAAACAATAAATAATTTCTGCTTTTAAACAGTCCCACGTTTGAATTTTTATGAATCATTTTTCCTGGTTTTTTCTTTTTATAAAGTCCTAAGTTTGGATTTATATGACCATTTTTCCCGTTTTGGTCTGAACAATTACTGCTCGGTAGTTTTTGTAATGCTCATCCATCGCTAGCCGTTGTGTTCCGCCGCTGGTTTTTGTCAAAATTAGTTTCAATTGAGACCAAATAGGAAATTTACGTTATTTATTCTTCTAGTGGCTTACTTTATCGCAAGTGGTGCAAAGTTCAGCTTCGTTTTCGTGTTTAATATTCAAATGTCTGGCATGTTTGCCTAGGATGAACATAAGAAAATTTAAACTGTATAATTCTTTCAGCATTTTTCATTTTTTTTCGGTTTTTGTTTTTGATATTTTCTATTGCAAGTGATGCGAAGCTGCGCTTCACGTCAGTGTTAAATTCCAAGTTATTTGTTTCTGTACATTGTAAAGCTCCCGAGTGTTTTGCCGCTTTCTCGCTTGTGTTTGCGAAGCTGCAGGTTCGAATTTGTTATGTCTACAGGGTGATCCAACACCTGACACTTTTGAAAAGCCTGTCATTTCTAACTGAATTGACATACTCAAAAAATTAACACGTTATAGAAGAGATGCGGATATTTGATAATTCATTGAAAACTAAACATTTTAAGAGATGATGGAAATGTTTCCCGCCATTTCTTGACATTTTATCATGCGTATGCAGACTAAACTGTTACTGATAAAATTTGATTCCGTTTGACCATTCGACAGAAATGTTGCCTGTTCGACTCTCTTTTAGCTTTTCAGCTGACAATCCTTAACCAAACTGGCAAATAATAAGTTTGCGCTGTTCATCTGTGAATATCATTTCTGCGAGAAAACACGCGAGATTGAAGAAATTAGCGTTAACAATTCTCAAAAGAATGATTGAAAATCAAGAAAATAAAAAAAAATTATTCACGAATGATCTAAATGATCGCACCTGTCATCCTGCAAAAAATCTGATTAATATGTCAATTCAATTAGAAATGACTGCTTTTTCAAAAGGCACAGATTTTGGATCATCCTGGAGTTTTGATTTTTTAAAGCGAGTTACGTGTAAATTGTTATTTGCAAACTCGTTCATTCCAATGTAGGCAGTTAGAATTTAAAACCGTTTGCTATTGATGTTCCCATTTGGTCGGTGGGGTGGATTCCACAAGAGGTTTGTGAATTCGGCGCCAGTTCTACCAATGTGTAGGGTATCAGACAGTGTATTCCACTACCCAAAGAAAGGTCAAAGTAGAAAAGGCTGTTCTAGAATCACCAGAAAAAACTTCTTTTCTCTGTTTCGGATTGCGCTTGCGAAATTACTAGAATCCATTTTACTACAACTGTTCACACTTTAATGAATTAGTTTCAAAACTGAGAGGCAGAATAAATTTCAGATAATCATTCGGTGTTCAAAGGTGACTGAAAACTATAGTTATAGTTACAAGTTGGGGATGGTTTGTTGGAAGTTTCAGTTTGATTTTAAAACAAGTTCATGATATTGTTGCTTTGATATTAATATTTTAAGCTTTTAACCTAGGGCTTAACCGGTTTGTTACCGTTCTGTGAATTTTGAACTAAGTTCTTATTGGGAAAACTTTATTTCATTTTAAAAATCCATATTCTCCATATGGAAGTTAAGTTACACTTTCCAAGTGAAAAATGCAAAAGGGGCAAAAAATAGAACTTGAACCTTAGTTTGAAATGAAATTTCAATTTATAGATTCTTAAGTAGAAGCTGAAATTAACCCATTTATCTAAGTTTTCTCAAATCACAAAGGAATTAGTCGTTATTTAGAATTTTTCCGAATTTTCCAACTGTTTATTGGCTACGTCGGTAAAATTTTATTCCTGAATTTGAAAAAAACGATCAAATTAAGTATGAAGCTTAAGTTTGTTGGACTCTTGTGTTATAGAGTCATACGAATTGCAATGTTGTGACGAAGATCCGTGACAACATTCTGACTGTGGTGAGATGTTATGCGAGTGGAAGCGAAGAACGGGTGAAAGGAATCGACAGAGTTGTGAGTTTGGTGTTGGACGGAGACAAGGAAGCAGGAAATGGGTTCGATGGAAGAGGAGAATTGTACACGCAGTGGGCGAAGAGCATGCGAAATATCAGAGAAAAGACAGGTGCTACTCTATTGGAGCGAGTAAGTTGCTGCTATTAAATTGAAATGCTCAAATTGTCCTTCTTACACTATTTCAGCATAGCATCTGGTGCTAAGTTTGCTTCATCTGTGGTAGTTACGCTTGAGATTAGCAAGCGTTATCAAACTGGAATATAGACTTTTTCGGGTTAAAAATTTGTTTAACAGAATCTTTTGAATCATTGTACCTTTGGTTCATATGAAATCAAAAGTCAGATGTTAAATTCGCGCATGTGGCAAAGAGATAACGCACCTGCCTTTAAATACATAGGGCAGAAGTTCGAATCAAGACAGGAACTGGTTATTTTTGTTACATACTAACTTTTTTGTATCGCAAGTGGTGCGGAGCTCCGTTTCGCCTCTGTGTACTTAAAAGCAAACTAAAGCAATTTCAATGTTGAGTGTCCATGTACGATGTGAAGACCCTTATTCAGATCGTGTTTTTTATTTTAAAAAAGTTTCACGAAGTTTTGAAATTCGTTGTTTCATGTTTGATTGTTTCTTAAGCTCATTTAAAATTGATTCTTATAGATGGCTTTTAGTTTCAAGTTTCCTAGTGGAAAAAATATCACCTATTGACCTAGTTTTCTCTAATCGGGTTACTCTTATGAAAAAAAACTAGCCTAAAATATTCTAAGATTAAAGAGTTTTAGGGTGATTTAATTCGTAATTTGAAAATCTTCATAAAATTCAAATCGTGTTTTTTTTTGGTTTTCTTGAATTTGTCGAGTTTTCCAATTTTCTGTTGGCTGTTTTTAATGTATTTCGATTATTTTTTGAGCCACACGAGGCAAAGTTAGTGCCTTAATGAGATGAAGCGGTGTTTGCTATAAAAACTAACCCATAAAATATGAGTTGAGAGCATCCGAAAGTATAATATGCAATCAACGAAGAAACAAAGTTTGAATGGGGGTTCAGAGAGTTTCAATGGGGTATAAAGTCTAATATTTTAAGAGTCAATGAACATAATGAAGACACTTGCTTAGATCGTGTAGTTTTTTTCGAAAAACTTCTGAAACTTTGCTCGCGCTCAGTTTTTTTGCACGGTTTCACGGATTTTTAAGTGTCAATGAACGTAGAGTGGACACTTATATAGGTCGTGTTTTTTCACACAAGGTCTTGAAAATTGGTTACGCGATATTGGCGGTTGGCTTTTGATTTTTTGAGGTTCATTTTTAAGAGTCGATGAACGTAATTTAGACTTCGTCATAGGTCGTGATGAACAAACAATTTTGAGTGTATTATCATTTCCTATGTACAAAATTCATGCAACAATTAATCGGCTCACGGAATTCTTATCAGAAATAATTAATTTAATTGATGCAGTTATTTAAAATTAGATTAGTGTATTTCCCTGATCACAAACCTTGTTTTCTAGAAGTCAGCAGTCGAAATTTTTGACTGTTTGAATAAAGTCACAATGTACGTCTTTTTTTTTAAATCGACTTAGTGCCAAAAGGAGACTTGACTTGATATCTTAGATCCGTGTGTTTGGGTTGGACTCTGTTCTTGCTGCTGTGCCTCAACTGGCTGGTCTACCGATGGTGCAACAAATTTCGGACCACATTCGCAAAAGCTCTCCAGATTCGAGTGCCTTGATTTCCAGTGAAGCTCTAATCGAATTCCTGGAAACATTGTACTCTCAAAGCATGAAGTTGACTCAGTCTCCAGGTGAGACGACACTGAGTCGAACTCCGAATCCGCACATGGGGTCGCCTTATCCGATTCAGCCCCATGTCTCCGAGCATATCGAACGCTTTTTCAACAGCATATCACCTTCACCCGCCAATCGCGGAGACTGCACGCCAGGTAGGACTACCAAGAAGCTTTGAGGCTTAGGATGCATCGTAAAAAAGAAGCTAAAAAATAGGCCAATATTAGAATAAAGTGGCAATTTAGGCGTGGAAAAATAAGTTTTCAGCGATTGACCCTCATCCACATTCAATTCGATTTTGAACATGTGTTTTAAACATGGGAGGGTAAAAGGCGTGGGAGTGTGCTTGAAGATGCCGGTCGCACCGTCAAGACTTTCCTAAGTTGGAGCCTATTCTGATAAAGCAAACGAGGCTACATGTAATCAATATAGTGATTAAAGCATCATCCGTTTGTGGGGGGTGAAGTGGAGTTTCCTAAAGGATCGGACTGAAGGATCCCCCTCAACATCTACTGTGCTCTGGGTTAGATCTGTGCTGTGGTATCATTTCAATTGTTTCTAGATCGAGCGGCTAAGTTGCAGGCTTCAAGCATGACGCTGAGTGAGTTCTCGCAGAGGAACCACCTTCGTCTCGAAATCCAACAACCGACGGATGGTGCAGGCGGTAGAGAGAGAGGCAGTTCCTGCGAAGTTAACTACTCATCGGGAAGCAACGAAGCAAATGGCGAACCTCCTGCTAGTGTAGAAAGTATATTGGAAGTGGGCGATCCTAACGACTCTTTTGATGCGACCACTATCCCACACAAAGATGCCGAAGATGCATTCGATGACGATTATATTGATATAGCAGAGGTAGTTTTGAATGGCGACAGAAAACTAGAAAATGGACATATAGATGACAGAAGTGTCCAAACATTGAATGTAGACAAAGAATGGAAACGTTCGACAGAAACAGCAGTCGAGGAAACAGGTGAGTGTAATAATGAGCGGCGAGAAGATAAGTTCGATGAAGATATGAAACAAAATGGTTTCGAAGATGATGAGGAAAGTGTGACAGAGGTAGTTATTCAGGAGGGGTTCAAGAAAGCTACTCATGGAGGAGAAAAGGACAATGTTGTTGGCGGATGCCTGAGTCCGAAAGTGAATAGGCGTGAAAGGACCATTAGTGCGAATATAGAGGGTGAGGGTGGTACAGGCAGTAGCCCCGAAAGAGTTGTAATCTCGATCCCCACAAATGATCAAAATGCTGATGCTTCACTGCTATCGCTAGTGGCTGCTCGTTCCTTTTTCCTCACAGACGCGAACATGACAAGAAAGTATGGATCGGTCTCTCTGCAATTGAATGAAAGTGGCCTGGAGTTGATGGGCATAGATATGGCTCCCGACGCTTTCAGTACTGCGCCACCCATACATAGTTGCTGCTCGTGCAAATGTGCAAATATGGAGACAATTGGACCTCAAGTAGTGGATAACGAGCTAGTTAAGAGTTTGCTAACTGCGCATCAGGTGATTGCAGATAGCCTGAAAAAATTTATTCCCAACAGTTTAATTAATTCCAATCCACAAAAAGCTAAACCCGCCGGGGCTTGTAGTGATTTAGAGCAAATTGCCTCAAGTGTCCAAGTTGAAAGAATCGCTGCGAAGCCTTCGACATCGCGGGCTTGTGAGGAAGGTAAAGTTTCTCTAGGTGAAGTCAAAAGCCCAGGTTTGACAGCTGAAATGAACGGAGAGCTGCAATTACAAGATGAAAATGAAGCGGAAAGCACTTCTCAACGAAATTATACAAGTCGACCTAAAATTACGCGACAAAAGAGTAATCAAACTACCGTCATTGTCTCCAACGATGTTACAACTTCGGCTCGAACTGAGAAGACTGGAGTTCTAAACGGCAATGAGTGCAGTTACCAAATGCCGAGTATTCATCAGAATCAAACCATGCCTAGCTTGCCTTCTTCCGGGCACTCCAAGTTAGAAAATGGTTCCCTGGAGCTAAAAGTTGGGAATCAACAAATGCAAGTTAACCAAGAAGAGCTTAGAGGCTTCGATAAAGCAGAAGGAATTAAGTGTGATAAAACAACAGTTAACAAGAAAGAAGACGGAGGAAACGAGTTTGAGGTAGTTCTTGAAGATGCTGACGGCGGTAGTGAATTCATAGACATCGAAACTTGCTCGGTTGAAAATGCACTTTTGTCAACAAGCAAGCCTACTGAAGTTCCCCAGAAACCTGATCTAGCTATAGAAATGGCTCTGGAAATTATTCATGGAAACAAGGCCAAAAAAGATGCTAACCGAAATGAGGAAAATAAAATTAATGAAGCTAATGAAAACGTGAAATCTTTGGTGAACGATTCTGCGAAATTCAGGGGCCATCCTACTCCAGAAAGACTTCAAAAAGTAAATGGCTTAACTTACACTGAACGACAACACTTACTTCATTTGCAAGCAATGCAAGCGATAGCAAGTAATAAAGAAAAAACAAAAGAAATGGCGGCTAAACATATAAGCGAACGAAGGAAGTTGGTGCGATCGCGTAAAAGTGCAAGTGGAAAAGTTCAAAATCAATCTTCGAGTTCACCAAATAAAGTTATCAACTCGGAGAGCTTGGCTCAAAAAATAGAGAATTGGCCTAAATTGCCGAAAAGTGCCTCCCCGAGGAAACGAAAAACACCGCCTGTAAAAAAAGTGTATTCGCGCTGGGATTTGAACAGCAAGTCGGCTGCTTTAAAGACAGGCAGCACTGCAGGTTTTAAAGATGCGTCTGTTAAAAGAAGCGCATCCTCAGCGGAGACAAAGGCAAACAAGAACGGACTGAATGCTTTCGAAGGCTCTCATCAAACGCCAAAATTAATTTTCAACCTTAACGATGTGAGGCGTGACGCTTCAGGAAAAGGTGGAAGCTTTATTTTTCATCCATTAGCCAAACAGTTTCAAGGTGAAAAAACGAGCAATGCTGAGAATACTAATCTAGAGTCCGACAAGACGCCTGTGGTCATCAATGAGAATGTTGCGAACAATAATAATGAAGAAGAAATCTTCGCGACACCAACACAATCGGAGACGCCGAAAAGAAAATCATCCGCAACAACTAATGCATTTACCCCAAAGAGAAGGAAGAAGGCAATATCTTTGACGCCCTCGCGAAAAAAGAAAACTGCAAGTAATGCTACTCAATCGGCAAACGCTGCCGAGTTAAATGTCGCATCATCGAATGACGCGAAAAAAAATCCAATGGAAATAGAAATTATACTCAACCGGATATACTTACCAGAAAATGAAGTGGCAATTAATTATAATGACTGGATCAAAAAACAGAGAGAGTTTGAGCAAAGTTTGATGACGGACGATGAAAGCGCGGTTGTTCGTTCGGTTTCGGCAGCTGGCCAATCAAGTGCGTCTATCACAATTTCACCCTCAACGGTAAATAACGCAACGTTCTCCTTCCTAACTCCGACTGAAAGTGCTGCAAGTGTAAGGACTCCATCAGAAGGAGAGTCAAGTTTTCACACCTGTAACCAGGAGAAGTCTGATCAAAGTTGGAGCGAAATCTCTTCACCTGCTGTGGAAAAGTGTGCAGGAGAGAAAACAAGCGAAGTTGGAGATTGTGAAAAAGTAGAACCAGAAAGGGAGAGTATGAATGGACAAGCGGCCAATGACGAAAGCGGGTTTTTCCTCACAGATAAAACATCTCCGCCTTCCAATGGAAAACAACTGAATGGTCTTAATGGAGTCGACGGTACGAGTCATGCAATCGCTTACTCTCTCGGAATGGGAAAAGGCGGCGCTCTTGTCCACATGAAACCGATGCCACGTAAATGAATATATGGTTCTGCACAAATTGGTTTAGCAATGTTAGCTTAACTTTTTCGTATGAACTCAATTCGCAGAACTGAAGCTGAATCTTGTTTGAAAATAGTGATTGGAATTCAACTTTTTAAGTCTTCTCTGTTTCTGTTTTGGCGTAGTCCAATTTTACTCGCAATTCTGTTTTCTATTTAGTTTCCAAATTCACCAGTTCGTATATGTAACATATTTTACTCGTTTGTGTAGATTTACATTGGCATCTTATTAAATTTTCTTTCCAGTCGAAATTGTTTTAAAAATTATCTGTTCAGCATAATCTGTAAGCATATCTTCAATTTACCTTATCTGAATCGTTTTTCTATCAAGTTTTCTCGTGGCTAACTCCTAATTGTATAGACGGAATGAGTTTCGCCCATCTAGCAGATGCGACTTCAAGACGAAATGTTAAAAGATGAATTCCAGTCCAAAGTTTTAACAAAAACTAAGAAATCAGAAAAATAATGGAATCAAAACTTAATTAGATCTCTTAACTAACGTTAATAGGTACAAAATTCGTGTTTGATGAAAACAGGTATTATAAAAATGTTATTGGTATCGGTCTTTTTAGACGCTTTGGAAAATTTTCGTTTTTCTCAAAAACTACTCAGCCGATTTTCAAAATAGTAGCTTCAATGGGCAGTCTGGTTACTCCCCTGCGTGCCTGCCTACTCCACTAGTCTCTTTTTACCTTACCCCACTTTCTACAACCTTCGAAAAAGTGTGTAGGGGGAATTTTTACCCAACTTTTTGATTTTTTTCTACATTTTCTCGAAACTACCCGTCCAAATCTGAGATTTTGGGTTCAACGGACAGAACAGGTTGTGGCTAGCTCCCCTGCTAAAGCAGCTACGCCCAATTTTTTTAAGCAAAAAGTTGTCGACCTCAGAAATATCGAATTTTCAGTTTTTTGACCATTTTTTTTTGAAAATTTAGACTTTTCTCGAAAACTACCCTCCCAAATCTGAGATTTTACTTTCAATCGAACGGACGAGTTGTGGTGAGCTTCCTACATGAGCGGGCGGTCACGCTCAAATTTTTTCACACAAAAAGTTTGATCCTCAGAAAAAACAAATTTACGATTTTTCTTAACGTTTCTTAAAACTTTTCGATTTTTCTCAAAAAATAGCCTCCCAAATCTGAGGTTTTGATTTCAATGAGTATTATCGGTTGTGAGAAGCTCCGCTGTCCTAACGATTACGCTTAAATTTGCTTACACACAAAGTTTTGTCCCTTCGAAATGTCAATTTTTCGATTTTTTGACCGTTTTTTCAAGCGTTTTGACTTTTCTCGAAAAGCACCCTCGCAAATCTGAGATTTTGTTTTCAATAGATAGACCGGGTTGTGGGAAGCTCTCCTACACAAGCGGTTACGCCCAAATTGTTTTACACTAAAAATTATGACCCTCGGAAAAGTCGAATTTTTGACTGTTATTTGAAACTTTTTGACTTTTCTCAAAAACTACGCCTCCGATTCTGAGATTTTGGTTTCAGTGTGAAGAACGGGTTGTGGGAAGCTCCACTGTATAAGCGGTTACGTCCAGTTTTTTTAACACAAAAATGTATGACCCTCGGAAAAGTCAATTTATCTATTCTTTTGCGGTTTTTTGAAACTTTTTGACTTCTCTCGAAAACCACCCCTCCCAAATCTAATGAGCAACGTTTTAAGCTTATTTCAACCTAACAAAATCTTTTGATTACTTCATTTTTTAAGAAAATTGAAGTAATTGATGAAAATTACAGATTTTGAAGTCATTAAATTGGGTTTCACTGGTCTCACATGTTTCGGTCGTGCGGTTTTCTTGTCAGAAAGAAGTCTCAAAGTTAATCGCACTCGAATATGATTTTTTGCGATTTTTCGTTTATTTTGTTGTTAAGTTAAAGTCAAGCTCTTTTGATGACAGGAAGGCAAATTACAACGCTTTCCAATTACGAAAGTGCAAATTGTGCAAAAAAAAAGCATTTTGAAGTTTTGAATTTTCAAAGCTCTCAGTGAAGGAACTGAAAAATTATCTATCACAGTTTTATCTAATTTGGTGAGAGTTTTAAGGAGATATTAAGGAGACAAGGAGCTTTAGGGAGATATATTTTTTCTAAGATATATTTTAAGAAGCTTTAAGGAGATTGCGTGAGAGAACCGAGGAGATTCGACCCCTGCCGACCCAAAGGGTCCCCCTTTGTACTACTTTGAGATATCAATTTTCGGCTGACTGATCCTAAAATTGTTCTAAAGGCGCTAAAATATACCAGCTTTGAGGGGCAAGCGCGCGCCGAATAAAACTTGGATTGGTCAACAATTTCCAAAAAAGGCCTAGAAACGCCTTTTTGGCATCAAAAATGTTTGCGTAGCGCAGAAAATCTGGTCAAAATAGGGTCTTTACAGTGATTTGACGTAGCGCAGAAAATCTGGTCAAAATAGGGTCTTTACAGTGATTTGACAGAGCTCAGAAAATCAATTTGGTTGTTCAAAAAAGCTCGAACAAATTTTGGATTTTGAAAATCCGCAAACCCCCCCCCCCCTCTCGAAAATCCTAGATCCGCTCTATTCTTTTTAATAAAGAATTTTAACAGAATAAAACCATTAAGTCTGTTGTGGCGTGGTAGAACGGAAGCAAGAAAACCAGTGAGAGTTCGTCCTCACATGCTATCATTGTCATAAATGAAGATTCATCGCCTCACACGCTATCAACTTAACTCTTTTTTAATAAAGAATTTTAACAGAATAAAACCATTAAGTCTGTGTTGGCGTGGTAGAACGGAAGCAAGAAAACCAGTGAGAGTTCGTTCATTACATGCTATCATTGTCATAAATGAAGATTCATCGCCTCACACGCTATCCACTTAACTCTTTTTTAATAAAGAATTTTAACAGAATAAAACCATTAAGTCTGTTGTGGCGTGGTAGAAGGGAAGCAAGAAAACCAGTGAGAGTTCGTTCATTACATGCTATCATTGTCATAAATGAAGATTCATCGCCTCACACGCTATCAACTTAACTCTTTTTTAATAAAGAGTTTTAACAGAATAAAACCATTAAGTCTGTTGTGGCGTGGTAGAACGGAAGCAAGAAAACCAGTGAGAGTTCGTTCATTACATGCTATCATTGTCATAAATGAAGATTCATCGCCTCACACGCTATCAACTTAACTCTTTTTTAATAAAGAATTTTAACAGAATAAAACCATTAAGTCTGTTGTGGCGTGGTAGAACGGAAGCAAGAAAACCAGTGAGAGTTCGTTCATTACATGCTATCATTGTCATAAATGAAGATTCATGGCCTCACACGCTATCAACTTAACTCTTTTTTAATAAAGATTTTTAACAGAATAAAACCATTAAGTCTGTTGTGGCGTGGTAGAACGGAAGCAAGAAAACCAAGGAGAGTTCGTTCATTACATGCTATCATTGTCATAAATGAAGATTCATCGCCTCACACGCTATCAACTTAACTCTTTTTTAATAAAGAATTTTAACAGAATAAAACCATTAAGTCTGTTGTGGCGTGGTAGAACGGAAGCAAGAAAAGCAGTGAGAGTTCGTCCTCACATGCTATCATTGTCAAAAATGAAGATTCATCGCCTCACACGCTATCAACTTAACTCTTTTTTAATAAAGAATTTTAACAGAATAAAACCATTAAGTCTGTTGTGGCGTGGTAGAACGGAAGCAAGAAAACCAGTGAGAGTTCGTTAATTACATGCTATCATTGTCATAAATGAAGATTCATCGCCTCACACGCTATCAACTTAACTCTTTTTTAATAAAGAATTTTAACAGAATAAAACCATTAAGTCTGTTGTGGCGTGGTAGAACGGAAGCAAGAAAACCAGTGAGAGTTCGTTCATTACATGCTATCATTGTCATAAATGAAGATTCATCGCCTCACACGCTATCAACTTAACTCTTTTTTAATAAAGAATTTTAACAGAATAAAACCATTAAGTCTGTTGTGGCGTGGTAGAACGGAAGCAAGAAAACCAGTGAGAGTTCGTTCATTACATGCTATCATTGTCATAAATGAAGATTCATCGCCTCACACGCTATCAACTTAACTCTTTTTTAATAAAGAATTTTAACAGAATAAAACCATTAAGTCTGTTGTGGCGTGGTAGAACGGAAGCAAGAAAACCAGTGAGAGTTCGTTCATTACATGCTATCATTGTCATAAATGAAGATTCATCGCCTCACACGCTATCAACTTAACTCTTTTTTAATAAAGAATTTTAACAGAATAAAACCATTGAGTCTGTTGTGGCGTGGTAGAACGGAAGCAAGAAAACCAGTGAGAGTTCGTTCATTACATGCTATCATTGTCATAAATGAAGATTCATCGCCTCACACGCTATCAACTTAACTCTTTTTTAATAAAGAATTTTAACAATAAAACCATTAAGTCTGTTGTGGCGTGGTAGAACGGAAGCAAGAAAACCAGTGAGAGTTCGTTGATTACATGCTATCATTGTCATAAATGAAGATTCATTGCCTCACACGCTATCAACTTAACTCTTTTTTAATAAAGAATTTTAACAGATTAAAACCATTAAGTCTGTTGTGGCGTGGTAGAAGGGAAGCAAGAAAACCAGTGAGAGTTCGCTCATTACATGCTATCATTGTCATAAATGAAGATTCATCGCCTCACACGCTATCAACTTAACTCTTTTTTAATAAAGAATTTTAACAGAATAAAACCATTAAGTCTGTTGTGGCGTGGTAGAACGGAAGCAAGAAAACCAGTGAGAGTTCGTTCATTACATGCTATCATTATCATAAATGAAGATTCATCGCCTCACACGCTATCAACTTAACTCTTTTTTAATAAAGAATTTTAACAGAATAAAACCATTAAGTCTGTTGTGGCGTGGTAGAACGGAAGCAAGAAAACCAGTGAGAGTTCGTTCGTTACATGCTATCATTGTCATAAATGAAGATTCATCGCCTCACACGCTATCAACTTAACTCTTTTTTAATAAAGAATTTTAA